TTAGGATAGATATATAGCTACATTCTCTTAATTCAATGAATAGAGGGATGTTCTGATAGTGTTTGTAAATAGGATGTCATGTCTGCATCTTGTACAACAAATAACCACTAGGAAGACAGTATGCAATGTGTTAATTATTGAAACTGTCCTACCAATTTGATTCGAAACTGTCTCATTGCTATTTGTTTCTCAATAAAATTATGAAAAAAAAATAATTGAATATTGGTGGCACACGCCTGTGATCCCAGCACTTGGGAGGCTGAGGCAGGAGGATCATCACGAGTGCAAGACCAGCCTGGGCGGCAAAGTGAAACCCTGTCTCAAAAAAAAAAAATGAATATTATTATTTAAGTTACATCTATCAAACTATTTTGACCACTCTTTTCTTCTATTATAGGAAAGCAGCAGCTCTGCTCTTGAAAAGATTGAAATGTTGAAAAGTATATAGGGAGAGCATATTTTCTTATTGGCATATGTTTGCTATGCATACTAGTTGCATTTATCTTAGTAAATATACATAGCAAAGCTTAATTACTTTTACATCCCCATTCCCTCCTGTTTCTCACGGCTTCCTCCATCCCCAGATCCCATCACTGCAATTACAACAATGAACGTTTAATTATTAGGGTCCCATAACTAAGGCTAATTCCCGGATGATTAAAAGTTCACAGTGAGTGTGTTGGTGGTGGGCTCCTAGGTCGCTGTGGTGCCCAATGGAATGGTGTAAGGATAAAATCACACTTTTAGTGGACAATGTAGGACAGAGGGACAGTCACCAGTGTTAGTCCTGGGAAAACTAAGTCACTATGCCTCACCTTTGAATTCTACACTGAGAACTTCATTCATAATAAAAGGAAAATTTTAGACTAAGTTTATATTTTGCTTTGAAACCTGCAAAAGACAATGGACAATGCTTTGTACATGGTAAAATATTTGTTAGAATTTGTCTGCTGTTAATAGAGTAGATGATTATAAAGTCCTTTAATGATCTCCAGTGAAATGTTGTGGCTTTTTTTTTTAATTTCTTGATTTAAATAAAAAACATTTGAGGAGCTGGGGAGATGGCTCAGTGGAATAAGTTCTTCCCTGGCAAACGCAAGGGCCTGAGTTCGATCCTGGGTTCTGAAAAAAAAAAAAAAATTGCACTGAGAAGAGAAAGAAGAAGAAAATGAGGAAGAGGAAGGGGCGAAGGAGGGGGAGGCAGTGTGGATTGACATGTTGAACGGCTTGGAGTGGTAGAGCACAGGTGTCTGGAGATGGGGCAGACAGCGTGGTGAGTCCCTGGCCTGGCTGTGAAATGTCCCAAATGTCATGTTACAGAGTATAGATTTTTACCTAGAGGTATCGGGAAGCCACTGAAAGCTCCAAGGAGGCAGAGGGTTCTTACCAGACATGTATGAGGAAGCTCGCTGGTGTCCAGCTGGAGAGCGGATAGCAGCTGGGTAAAGCTTGAGGCAGGAAAACTGATCAGAAACCTTGTGGCAATTGAGGTCTACTGACACTTATGGTTATCAATAAGATCCAAAAGCAGTAGTGGCTTCAATAAGATCTCGAGGCATGTAGTTCATTCAAACCTACTTTGGCAGCTCCAGGATTCCATCAGACACACATTCCTCTTTCTTTCTACTCTGTTCTCAAAAATACCTCCTAAACACAACATGGCTGCTGATCCTCTAGACCTCAGATCTGAATCTAGATAAGAAGAAATGGCCAGAGGCAGGAGAGACATCTGCTAGCTGAGTGAGCTCTATTACACAA